CAGCATTTCCAAGTGGGGTTGCAGGTGGAAACCCTTGCCTGAAGGGCTGCTGCCAGTCAGTGTAGACAACACTGAGTTAGGTCCACGGAAAAGAGCCTCAGCAGAAGACCTTAAGCATCTCAGTGCCTCTGTAACCTTGACAGCAGCCCTGTTTGGGTTAAAAGCAGGCCCCGGGTCTGAAACCTGGCAAAGCATGGGACTCTTAATCTCAGGGTTGGGGGTTCGAGTCCCACATTGGGTGAAGGATTCCTGCATTGCAGGGGGTTGGACTAGATGACCGCAGGAGTCCCCTTCCAACTCTACAATGCTATGTTCCTGTACTTTGTCACCAGGTTTGACATCCGGCTTGACAGGATTTGGTTTGTTGGCCCAGTCCCAGCACGCCCGAAGAAGCCGAACCGGTTCCACCCACTCTGCACCTTGCCCACTCACAAAGGGGGAAATTCCCCGGGAAGAGGGATGCTCCATTTAACTGGAACCATATGGGGAAATAGGGACCTCCCCACAACTCTCTGAACCAACTACAATTCCCAGAATTCTTTGGGGGGGACAAACTGTGATTGTCTAGTGCAGCGGTTCTCAACCTGTGGGTCCCCAGATGTTGTTGGACTACAACTCCCATCATCCCTGAGCTCTGGCCTTGCTAGCTAGGGGTGATGGGAGTTGTAGTCCAAAAACAGCTGGAGACCCAAGTTTGGGAAACACTGCTACCCACATTCAAACCCCCCCCTTCCTGATCTTCCAAGCAAGAGGCATTATGGGAGTCCCAGGGCATATTCCCGCCAAGCAAAAAATGCTCAGAAGCCAGGGTGGGAGGTGAAGCAGAGCTGCTGAGGGACGTGGCCTGGGGAAGTGGGATGTAGCAGATATAGAGGCCTTGAGGCTGCACATGGCCCCTGAGCCTGATGCTCCCAACCCTGTTGTTGGACTACAACTCCCATCATCCCTGAGCTCTGGCCTTGCTAGCTAGGGGTGATGGGAGTTGTAGTTCAACGACATCTGGGGACCCACAGGTTGAGAAAGGCTGGCCTAGTGCTTTGAATATATGCTGCCGAGGTGACCGTCCGGTCCGCAGTAGAAAACTGCAACAAACCTCCTATAAATCACACAGCATGTACATATAGCAGCAGGGACTCTCCCTCCCTCCAAATCTCTCCTTTTCCAAATCTCTCCTTTTCCTGCACCTGCAGTAACTAAGCCTAACGCTATGAAATCTAAATAATCCACCTAAGCCTCCTTCCCACTCCATTCCCTCGGGTGTTCTCTCTTCTGCAGCGATTTTTTGACTGTAAGCATCTAGGGGCAGAGACCTCCCGCCTTCTATTAACGAACTGACAAGCATTTTAAGGGAAGGCGAATAATAATAATAATAATAATAATAATAATAATGGGACAGGGGTCTTTAAGCAGCTGGATTTCACCAGAGAAGCCGGAATCCCCTTTTCTATACACAATAGATACAATGCACAGGAACCTTTGAAATATGGCCACCCAAACGATAATTACTTAAAGGTAGGAGGTGAAGTGGCTTGACGTTAGTTTTCAGCTAGGGTCACCAGACATCCCCGTTTCCTGGGGACAGTCCCCGGATTTGCAAATAAGGCCCCGGACAAATTCCATCCCTGGAACGTCCCCGGATTTCATCTAACGTCCCCTGGGAAACGCAGCAGCGGCAGTCTGGAGAGCCAGTGTGGTCTAGTGGTTAAGAGCGGTAGTCTCGTAATCTGGTGAACTGGGTTCGCTTCCCTGCTCCTCCACATGCAGCTGCTGGGTGACCTTGGGCCAGTCACACTTCTCTGAAGTCTCTCAGTCCCACTCACCTCACAGAGTGTTTGTTGTGGGGGAGGAAGGGAAAGGAGAATGTTAGCCGCTTTGAGACTCCTTCGGGTAGTGATAAAGCGGGATATCAAATCCAAACTCTTCTTCTTCTTCTTCTTCTCAGCAGCCCGGAGCAGTTGGCTCTGGCTGGCTTCAGGAGCTGCTCGGAAGTCCCCATATGATGGTGGTGCAGGGGCTCTAAGATGCAGCTTCCGGGCTGCCTCCACCTTTTTTTGACCCCAGTGACTAAGCTGTGAAGGGAGGCTTCATGCTGCCTGATCCCAACTCCTACTTGCATGCAAGAGGAATCGGGGCAGGGATCTCTCAGTTAGGCAATGGGAAGCCTCCCTTCCCAGCTGAGGGATCCCCACCCCCTCCTGCTTGCAGGCAAGTAGGAACGGGATTGGGGCTGCTCCGATGGGAAGGGAGGCATCGCGCTGCCTGAGAGATCCCTGCCCCCTCCTGCTTGCACACAAGTAGAAGTTGGGATGGGGCTGCTCCGAAAGGCATTGCTGTCAACTTTCAGATTTGAAAATAAGGGATCAGCAGCCTCACCTGTGAGACAGTCTACGGCACGGGTGTCAAACACAAGGTCCGCGGGCCGAATCCGGCCCGCCGGACCTCGTCATGTGGCCCGTGTAGCCGCCGCCAGCCGCCAGCCTTCACCTTTTATTCTTGCTTTTTTTTTTTTTTTTGACACAAGAAAGCCGCCTCAGCCTACAAGCCAGAGAACGTCTGCCCTCTAGCAGCGCCAGCCGTTCTACACAGGAAACCTCCACTTTACATGCATTCAGGAAACCTCCACTTGTTTTTATATTGAGCGCATGCCATCCTGTGATGTGACAGATCCCACGGCTGCCTGAACCCTTCTCTCCTGTACTGTAAGTCCTACAGATACAACCGGCCCTTTGAGGGTGACCAAACTGCTGATGCGGCCCCCGATGAATTTGAGTTAAGACACCCCTGGTCTACGGGATATCTAACTATCGGGGATAGCAGCGGGAAACAGTGCTGAAATAAGGGAATTTCCCGCAAACAAAGGGAAGGCTGACAGCTACGCCGAAAGGCAATGTGAACCCCACCCCCTCCTGCTTGCACGCAAGTAGGAATGGGATTGGGGCCGCTCTCCGCCCTCCTTCTCTGCCTTCCATGCCTGGCCCAAAGCACACCGCTTCCCCACCATCACCGAAGAACCAACAAGTCAGGGGATGCCCAGGCTCATGGAGGAAGGAGACAGAAGCCTCGGAGGAAGGCGAAAGGTGGCGGTTGAGGTCAAGGCGGAGGCTGCCCCTCTGCCACCGCCATCGCTGCAGCATCAACGTCCCGCACGTGTAGTTTTTATTTTATTTTATTCAATTTATTTAAAGTGTCCCCGGATTCATTGAAAAAAATCTGGTAACCTTATTTTAAGCCAGCTCATAAAAGAGTTGGTGCCAGGAAGCAAAGTGGGGAGGGTCAGAAGAATCCCTCCCCAGCATGAGGAATAAGATAAAAAATATAAAGAGACCCGCTTACCCAGCAAGACGAGAGTCGGTGTCCTTTTCCCCTTCCAGCAGCCACCAGGAAGCAGCCGGACTTTTACAGCCAGCCCAAGGCGAGCTGATCATATGATCTGCGGTCACATGACACCTGTGTTGCAGGCGGGTGGGGGTTCGCTCTGCCGGCACCGGGCATCCGCTGAGCAATTAAGCCCCTGGGAGCAGAGGGGGCTCGTTTACTTGGGAGCAAGCGTGCTGCCTGGGATGGAAGGAGGCAGTTGCTTGCTTCGGAGCAAAAAAGATGCCGCAGGGTCGGATCCGCCCTGCAAAGAAACTTGAAACAAGGACGTTTCTCCCGGCGTGGGAATGTTTTTGCTTCCTCTCCCCAATCGATCTGTTGGGTTGCCAAAGGCTCGACGCAGTTTTCGTGGCTGCAGCGGAGACTCCCGTTGTCACTCCCCCCCTGGAATTAATAGTGATTCATAATAATTGGTAAATCGTGATCAGTCATCTGCTGTCGTGGCCTCCCCCAGCAACAGTCTCCTTTCATCGCTCCGCTCCCCACCCCAAAAAAATATAAGCCCGAAAAAGTGTTTTTTTAATTCTTATTTTTATTTTATTATTATTATTATTATTATTATTATTATTATTATTATTATTATTATTTGTACTGCCGCCCATCTGACTGGGTCGCCCCA